CAGATATCTCAATTAAAGGTTGACTTGCAACAACCTGAATGATTACAGGCAAAATTGCTGCTAAACTGGAAACCAGAAATATTGTCTCCTCCCGAATCTGACTTCAAGGTCAATAGGTAGGCCATACATCTTTAACAGGTGTGAAACTAGCAAGGAGGCCGATCCGTTATGTGATTTACATCACTGACAGGCCTTCAAGTTGGTAATGTAAACTATTGTCAGATTTCACAATTTGGGAGAGTTCTGGGAACTTGGACACTTGTTCTTCCAGGGCAAGAGCTGTAAAATGGGACTGTCCTAGGCAAAATCAGGACATTTTTAAGGAATTGAGGAGTGGAGCTGAACGGAATAGTGTGTGCTGCTTGCTCACGGTATCAGTTGTGGGTGAATGGTAATTTGATGGACAAGATTCCACCCTGCTCTAGAACCCTAGCCTGTGTGATAGAAGGATATCGAGTCTTCTGCTAATTAGTGTGAAGCTGCTTATCATTAATGAAGTGCTTAACGTTAGTGAGGCCAGACACTTTGTGGACCTTCTCATTATTATAGAGTTGGTAAGGCAGTTGTTTTTTACTGGTCATAATTATAAATTTAACATGTTGCTTACTAGTGTGTATAAAAGGCTGCCGCGCAATATAGAGTCTATATACTCACATAAGGAAATCAATAAATCATCATGGAAATCTATTTACTTTCTATGACCATGCAGATTTTATACAAATACAGCTGGGCAGCACTTTACATGTAGCTGCCTGCAGCAATGTTGCTATACCTGTTGCCTAACCACACTGTTACAACAATGCTTAGGTGAACAAGCCTAGATAATTCCTCCATAACTTTCTTATCACTGTGTCTTGTGTATAAACCCTATCTATAACCCACTAGTAGTGACCTGAGCCAGTGTGTACTCTGTAGGTAGTGAGCTCCTCTCCAAGTTGTTAATACACTCAGCATTGCCAGAAGTCACTTTAGTTCCCATTATGGGGTAAGAAAAAACTATCTTTCCTTATAGGGTTGGCATGACGTTGATCAATTTAGCAAGGCCTAAGAAACCGTTTAAAGGGAGAGAGGAACATATTTAATGAGCATGTCTGTTTATGGTGCATGGAGTGTTTCTTCAAGACAGATGTGCCTTCCCTTTAGGCAGGCAGACCCATCCGGTGCATGCCCGCTCTCTTTCCTGCCCACCTTATCCTGGAAGGTGTGCAGGGAATGTTGCCAGGTATGTAGTCATTATGGTTAGTGTTTGTTTTTTTTAAAATTATTTTTAAGAACGTGCCATTTCATTTAAAAAATAGCTTGCTAATTCCTGAGAAGTTTTAAAAAAGTGTAGTAAATATTATTTTTCCATAATATTTATAATAATATTACATTTGTATGTTTTTTCAAGTTGACAGGTAATCCACTTAATCCTTTTGGTGCCATTGTAAAATTAATTAAATCATACTTGTGGAAAAATTAAATAGACCATCTCTATCTCTTTATGGTGATCTTAATAAAGGCATCTATAAACTGACTTGAAATTCTATAAATGGTACACTCAAAATAAAAGCAATATGGTGTATTGTATTGGAATGTTGCTTGTAACTATACAGTGTATCAGTAAAGACCAGTGTTCCTGCTAATTGTTTTAGTTTTATAACCCATTACCTATCATTAGCAATCTAATCTGTTCATTTCCTACAGCAACATTCAATTTTCAATAAATAACTTTTTTTAATCTTTCTCTCAAATTTCCTTTATTTATAACACTTGCTTTGCTTTTATATTTGTCCCTCTTTATTCTCCATCAATATTTCCCTTTCTTATACTGTCTGTTCACTCTTATCCTCATACCTTTAAGCAAAATCTTGTAAATAATTAAAAAAGAGAATAAAAAAAAAAAATGAAGAAGAAGAAAATCCCAGAGAGATGACAGAAGGTTTTAGTTTCCATGGCTACGTCTTTCCTGGGGCATTCAGGCTTTATTTTAGCTTTAAGCAGCGGGGGACTGGAACACAGGGGCAGAGAAACACAGAAAACCTCTCTGTCTATTACCGGCTATTTAAAATATTTGCACCCCACCCACCCACAAAGCAGTATTAGAATAATATTTAGTTGTGCAATCTCTTGCACTTCTAAAAGTGTACATGACTAATGGTTTTAATAATGTGTCAAATAAATTTGGGGAGATTTTAAAACCGTTTCATGAATCAAATAATATATATATATATATATATATATATATATATTTTTTTTTTTTTTTTTTATTCAAATGTGTTTATTTATTTACATTAAAATTTACAGAGTATTATGAAATGCATGTTTATCTGCCAGTAAAATAGCTTTGTGATTTTAGCTTCAACTATGCTCTCAAAGTCAAAGGTTCAATTTCTGCCAAGGTCAGCGCAGCCCTTTATCCTTCCAAGATGGATAAAACAAGTGACATTTAGCTGGGTAATAATAGCAATTAAATCCTAAAGCATTCTTGGAAGCTTGCAAGAGCTAAGTGCACTGTTTGTGATTAAATATTTTGGTGTTAATATTTATCATTTGGTAATATAGTATTGCATATGCGACAGACTACAATAATATTATTTATTACAATTAATAAGAACACGTTGGGGACTGCTTGTCAGTTGGTTTTCAAAGGAAAGTCAGTTACTAAAACTTGGTGGCTTTATCAAGTTTCACAATCCTTGAACTATTAACTAGCACTAGTGTAATACACAAGAAATGGTCCTTAAAGTAGCAAACTTGTATTCCTGAAGTTATATTGTCCCTATCTCTGGAGTGTACCTAGAGCATTTGGCACCCAGGGCGGGTCTGATTTTTAGCACCTCTCCCCCCCCCAACTTTAAAAAGTAAAAAACGACCAATTTATTTTTTTATGTATTAAGCACTGAGCAGTGTTTGTGTGTTTGAATGTAAGCATGTTTTTGTATGGAGTATGTGTGAGTGAATGCAGGGCTGTGTTTGTAGTGTTGATATTTGAATGCATGCATTTGTGTGTAGTGTGGTTTTTGAATGTAGTGGTGTGGTTTTATATAATGGTGGGGTTTGTAAGTAGTGTTGACGGTGAAATGCAGTGGTGTATTTGTGTGTAGTGTTTCTCTAGGGGATGGGGTAATGTGCTGCCATTGTCAGTCTGATGGGTAAATGTGTTCCATGCTGGCATCAGACAACAAATTTGCATAGACGATAACTCCACTATGTGCTAGCCTTATATGAGATTGCCATATTTAAGGACCCCAAATAAGGGAGATATCTGCTAAACAGCACCGTAATTTGGTATCTTTAAATATGGAAATCTCACGTAAGGGCACCAATTTAGGGAATCATCTACTTACAAGCTAAAAGATCGAAATTAAAAAAAGCCCCTTTCTTAATTTTAGTGTATCGGTTGTTTAGTAGATAACTTCCTTATTTGTTATCGTTATGTGGGACTAAATAAGGGAGCTATCTACTAAACACATACACATTTATATACACACACAATAACACAATACATGCAGGGCTGGACTGGCCCACCGGGATACCGGGAAATTTCCCGGTGGGCCGCGGCATCTGCGGGGGAAAGGAGAGAGACACACAAGGGGAGGGGGAGAAAGAGACAGAGGGAGAAAGGAGAGAGACGCACAAGGGGAGGGGGAGAAAGAGACAGAGGGAGAAAGAAGAGAGACACACAAGGGGAAAGGAGAGAGACACACAAGGGGAGGGGGAGAAAGAGACAGAGGGAGAAAGGAGAAAGATGCACAAGGGGAGGGGGAGAAAGAGACAGAGGGAGAAAGGAGAGAGACACACAAGGGGAAGGAGAGAGACACACAAGTGGAGGGGGAGAAAGAGACAGAGGGAGAAAGGAGAGAGATGCACAAGTGGAGGGGGAAAAAGAGGCAGAGGGGAAAGGAGAGAGACGCACAAGGGGAGGGGGAGAAAGAGGCAGAGGGGGAAAGGAGAGAGATGCACAAGGGGGGGAGAAAGAGCCAGAGGGGGAAAGGAGAGAGACACACAAGGGGAGGGGGAGAAAGAGGCAGAGGGAGAATAGAGAGACTGGAAAGGAGAGGGGAGACATGGACACAGAGGAGTAGTGAGGGGGAGGCAACAGGGCAATTTCCCCCCCCACGAGGCTCTCCCCTGCCAGCCGATCTCCCTCCCCATTCCACAGGCACTGTGCGGCACACACTGCCCCCACACACACCATACATATTCACACACTGCCCCCCATACACACATTGCCCCTATACACACACACACACACTGCCCCAGCAACACATTGCCCCCCACACACACATTGCTGCACACACATACACAACCCCCCCATACACACATTGCCCCACACACCCTGCACATTCACACACTACACCCCCCCCCCACACATACACTGAACCTTTCACACACACTGCACCCCTCCACACACACATTGCACCACTGCTCCTATACCCTACTACAGCCCCATATCCCAGCAGACCCCAGATAAGTTGTCAAACTGTTCTTAAACGGTTGTATAGCTATTATATTTACACATATATTAATGTACATTTATATATGCATAATACACAGATAAATGTCATTAATATGTACCATTTGTAATGAGCAGATATTGGCCCAGTCTTGGCCCATCACAATAACATATTTAAAGTGAAGAGCGCATCCACAGGACTTCAAAATAAACAAGATAATGTAATTTTTTTACAGTTGTGCCCTACATACATTCAACATTTCAGTCCCATTACCAAGCTTTCCTTAATATGTCAAGGTAGTTGGACTGAAACATTGATTACATGCAAAGGCACGTCTGCTTAAAATAAATCTGCACTTTTGTTTATTTTAAAGCCTATGAGTGCTTTTTTTTACGTTGAAGTAATAATTTTTAATTTTAAGTTCTCTTTTCTAACTCTGTATCTGCACACTATGCTGGTGCAACGCATTATGGGGCTGGTAAATATTTTTTTTCCAGGGCTGCTTTTAATTCCCAGTCCGGCCCTGAATACATGTATGTCTGTGTGTGTGTATATATCTGTTGTGTGTGTGTGTGTGTGTGTGTGTATATGTGTATATATATATATATACATATATATATATACACACACACACACACCAATAACACAATAGATGTATGTCTGTGTGTGTGTGTATATATATATAATGCTGTGTGTGTGTGGGTCTGTGATTGGGTGTGTGCCTGTGGTTATGTGGGTATATGTCTAAGATTGTGTGTGTGTGTGTGTATATGCAAATATGTACGTGTGTATGTCTAATTATGTGTGTATGTGATTGTGTTTGTATATGTCTGATTATGTGTGTGTGTATATATATGTGTGTGTGTATATATATATATATATATATAAAATTGTATATATATATATATATATATCTATATATGTTGGAAGGCCATTTGGCCTGAATTTGTGGGAGGAGTTATGACCCTATATAAACCCTACCCCTCCTACTTACCTTTGCCGGTCAAGTTGGTTTGTCTCCCTAGTTACCTGCACTTCCGGTTCATTGTTCCCGCCAGTCCTGCCTCGTACAGTCTATCTTCAGCAGCTCATGCCGCCGACCTCCGGGCTCGTCCACCGGCTGCCCCGCTGTATTTCTCACTTGTTACCCGGCTATCTGGCTTCCGGTCACGGGACCGGCACACTCACGTAAGCATCGACGTGGGAAATAGCGTTTGGCTATTTCCCATGTTTGGGACCATGGAAATAGCCAATAGGCTCCCTATATTACTTACCCGTTCATGTATTTACGCTGTTTGTGTACTTCTACGTTTGTGCGGCTAATAACCGAACGCAGAGTACACAAGCTTTCGTTTTTCTTTCGTTAAAGATGTATTAACGACCGCTTATACTCACCTACATTCGCCTGTTTCTTACATACGTTCGTTTAGTCGAAACACGTACGAACGGCTTTTTACAAGCTTTCCATTTCTCCTAATCTATCACACGCGGTCCTGTTATGTCCCTCTTGCACGTCCGTTAGCCAAACGCATGAGGTTTAAACATTTAATTTTGATAATTTAAGTATGTTCCCCTATATTATTTCTTTTTGAAACATGTGTACACGGTTCTCCCTACGTTTTCCTTAAATCTTAGCGGCTCTTTTCACCGCCCATTGTCACATTTAATTATGCATAAATTCCAAGAGGTGTTCTCTTAAAGAAACAGTTGACTCTTAAATTTATCCAGCTCCACGCTCAATAGCTCTTATTCTCTTAAATCTCTGTATGTATTATAAACGCTATACTCTGGTTCCTTATTCTTACTAAAATAAATATGTTTCAGGTTGTACTACTCTTCTTTAAGAAAACTCCAGGAGGTGGTTCCAGTTTGCCGTTTCACGGTATCAGGTAAAAAAGGTTAACATTTTTTACGTTTCTCCAGAGGCCTCATCCAGCCTCCACAGCCTTTTTTACAAATCACCTCCCACCTCCCAAAGTGGGTTCAAAACTTCAAGCATACCAGATCTAAAGATGCCTCACCCTCCATGTTACTACTGTATTATACTAACGTGTTAATTTTGTTTCTCTTTTCAACATATCATTACTTAGACCTGTGCCATTTAGTAGATTCACTACACCTTCAACGACCAACAGGCTACCTGGTCCCTGACGTTTCAGTATCAGGTATCAGTAATCTTACTCACTACAATTACGCTTCTTCTAAGGCCTCACTTTGCCTTCATATTGTTCACAAATGGATACACATTTATGGGATCCCAGGGGCTTGTCTCAAAAATTTGGACCAACATTCAGGTCCCTCAGCTTACACAGGTGCTTACGCTACAGTTTCACTGTCACACACCTTTCCATACGATCTACATTTTTACACTTGGAATACCAGTGGCATGCATCAAGCCTACTAGCATATTTTTTACCCCTAGGTTCCTGGACTGGACCTGTTCTTCACAGTGTATATATATTTATACTGTGCATTGTCTTAATATACAGGTCAAACACTCAAGGTCAGTATCTACATACATTACATACTTCCGTCAATAGACAAGCCCCCGTCAGGTTAGAGAACTGTCTTTCAGGGTCAGGCGCTGGCCCTAGCTTTCCCAAATAATTCTGCGGACCGGGAGGTCTACACCCCCACCTCATACACAGAGGTTCAGCCCCACGACCAAATCATAGCTAGCCACCTCGCTCGCTCTTCTTTGGGCTACAGTTAGGGCTTCCCATGTCATGGCCACATGTTTTTGAATCCCCACAGTCACCAAGAGGACAACATCCTGCCACCTCGTTCTGGTGGCCACAAAACCTCCTCAGCCCAAATCATAGGTAGAGCCTCTCACCGCCACTTGGCAATCATCTGTCACTTGGTTCTAGGTAAATTTTTCACCTCGGCACTAGCTAGCAGGCCAGTTCTCTGGAGGTCTCACCCCACCTCCACTATGCCCTACTTATCCATATCATTATTCCTTTCAGAATGTCTCAAGAACCGACCATCGATCCCCCATCAGACGATGTACCCAGCACGCCAGCCAGCTCTGGGTCTCCAGAGGAATCCCTCACTACTCCCAGATCCCTAAGATATTGGACCATTCCCAAAATATCGGCTGAGCTCAGGCTCATGGAGATCCCCTTTACAGCCACCTGTCATGCCAAAAGCATGAGTTGGTGTTTGATGTGTGTTTATATATGTTAAGAGTTGTTTTTTTGTAAACCTTGGGATGACATTTATTGTGGTCTTTGATCTGGCACCAGGCCTAGACCATAAAACATCTAGATAGCCATCACCAGAGCTGGACACAAGGAATTTCATAGAGTGGGCAATAGACTGCCAGACCAACCCCCTCTGATTCCCTCTCTGCCCTCCAGGGGTCTGCCCACTGAGCAACAACTAGTTTAGATATATTAATGAGGGTACTGGACTATCCAGGGAGTTATTCATTTTTCTTTTGTCAGTAACTTCTAGGAGACCTATACCATCTAAGACTCCCACATGAATTCTATATGAGGTAACTACATGTAAGGAATTTCTTATGTTTTCTCCTATTTTATTTTATGTACTGTTTTGCAATTTGTTATCTGTATGTCATTTATTTCTGTATTTTGTACTCAGCACTGTGAATCCTTTTTGTCAGATTAAATGTTTACTTAATCAGCTTGCGTCTCTGTTCTCTATGAGCTTCACTCTCCAGAGGAAAGCTCAGGTAAACACATTACCAAAAAGTGTTAACTATATATGTTTTATCAGTAAAAGTAGAACTGTGATACTATAATTCTCCTGTGTGTGGGGTAACCTAAGACGCCCGGGTTTAAAAGTCTTGGTGGTGGCAGTAGTACTAAGGGGGATAGTGTAGAAGGTATTGCAGGGGTTAATTGAGTGGTTGCTGGGACTAGCAACAGGTAACCAGGGGTCTGGTGTCATTAACCCTGTCACTTCCACACTCTCCCCACTGTCTCGGCTGGGCCTATAGCCCACGCACGTGACAAACTGGCGGCAGCTAGTGGGATATATTTAGAGATTTTTAGTGCTTGCTAGATTTTACCTGTAAAGGGGGTCTTAGCACTAAAAGAAATTGCATACTTGTTTTTGTGTAATTTCCAGAGACCAAGCTCAGTGCTGATTTAAAATACATACAAAGTGCAAAACAGTTCTCCCCTCCCATCTTTTGTTTTTCTTTCTCTATCCTATTTGTGAATATGGAGGCCTATCGCAAACAATCAAAAGAGGCCTTGGAATTGTTGTGCCAAGAAAAGAATTTACCAACTTTTGGCAAAAATAAGGCACAACTTATTGCTGACCTTGTGGAGGCTGACAGCCATATTTTCCAGCCAGAGACGGATACTGAAAGGGTTACCGAGCTCCCTACTACTGCAGGAGTGTTGCTTACTGAAATTCCTGGTGGTTGTACCCCTCAAAACATTAAGGACATTTGCTCAACTGATTTATTTCGGCAACTGATGGCTGCAAATCCTCAGGAGGCCCTGCATGTGATGATCCAACAGCAGGCTGCAGAAAGGGAATCTGCAGAGAGGCTAGCCGAAAGGGAGGCACAAAGGAGACATGAGCTGGAACTTGCCAAACTGCAATTTACCCTTCAGTCCTCACCGAACAGCAATGCATCAGAGTCCAGCACACGTAGACTCCGTAAGGATGATTTTCCTTCCCTCGAAGAAGGGACAGATTTGGATGTATTTTTAAAAAGTTTTGAGAAAGTATGCAGGCAGCATCAACTACCCTCAGACCAATGGGGCAGATATTTAACTCCACAATTGAAAGGGAAAGCCTTGGATGTGTTTGTGTCCCTTCCCCCAGAGACTGATGATAACTATGAGGCAATCAAATCTGCATTGCAAAAAACTTTTAACCTTACTCCTGAGTCTTACAGGAAAAAGTTTAGGAGTATGCAGCAATGCCCATCATCCAGCTGCATTCTATATGTTGCACAATTAGAAACCACGTTCCGGCAATGGGTAACAGGAGTACAAGCTACTACCTATGAAGCCCTTAATGACTTACTGGTCCTAGAGCAGTTCTTGCAGACCCGGAGCCCTAATGTAAGAGAGTGGATTTTGGAAAGAAAGCCAAAAAATGCTAGGGCTGCTGCAGAACTGGCAGATGACTATGCAGACATCCATGCACCCACATCCAGGCGTGGACTTGTGTCAGCTGCTACTTCGACCTGGAGAGAAGCTACAGTTAAATCACCACTTGTAAGATCTGCAGTGAGAACTTCACCGCCGACTGCCAGCGTAGCCGGGGCTATGTCAAGTGAGTCAGATGCCCGCCGTTGTTTTCGATGCAACCAGATTGGTCATCTGAGCAGGACTTGCCCCATTAGGAATATGCCCTCACCAGTCTGTGGAGGGGCACCATCAGTATTGCTTGTGGGTGGGTCCGTGGGGAAACAAGAGGATAACCTGCAGAGTGTAATTGTGGGTGACCGAGTGACCATGGGACTGAGAGATTCTGGAGCTTCCTTCACCCTGGTGCAACCTGAAGTGGTGAATACGGAGGACATAATCCCTGGAAGAACCATGTCCATCAAAGGAATTGGGGGTGTATGCCCCGCTGTGCCCTTGGCACGTGTGTACCTTGACTGGGGTGCGGGCAAAGGTTTGCGGGAAGTGGGGATTTCAGAGGATATCCCTGTTAATGTTCTGTTGGGGAATGATTTGGGCAGGATGCTCTGTCACTATGCTCCAGCGGACACTGTTTGTGAGCCAGAAGGGCTGACTGCTCCACCTAAGGTATTGTGTGAAACTTTGGGAGACATTGTGAAGTGTGATTGCTGGGAGGGAGAGCAGGGTGTGGATAAATATCTACCTGTAACTGAACCAGTGATGTCTACCAAATGTGAGATAGGGGTGAGTAGTGATGTGCCTGTATTAAAATACTGTGAGGCTGGGATGTCAGAGAGTAAGGGAGAGGAGGAAGGTGAGAGCCAGGGATGTGTACCATTAGTCGCAGTGGTAACAAGTCAACAGTGGGTCAGGGCTGCAGCAGGACAGTCTGAGGTGCTATGTGAGATTGTGAGAGGAGGGCCTGCCTTGGAGAAGAAATTATGTGAGTGTGTGCAAAATTCTGTATCTGATCAAGGGGGGTCAAATGCGTCCTGTGAAAATGTATGGGAAAAGCCTTCCAGCGAGAGGGGGCTGAATGAATATATGTGCCAATATGTGCCTGAAGCAGATGTATGTGATGTGGTGGGTGAAAATGTGAAGGGACAGCGAGGCTATGAGGGAGGGCAGAGGGTGTGTGAGCTTTACTCTGAGCCAGACTTAGCCAGTTTCCAAAGTTCGGTATGTGTGATGACCTGGAGTGAAAGTGAGGGGCACGGACAGACTCAGCCTGTGGGTCCAGGAAGGATGGCTGCAGGGAAACATACTGTTGGAGGAACCAGGAACCTTGTCAGTTTATCACAACTCACGCATACACCTAAGCAACCTTCTGATTGTGAACCAAAGGTTCAGAGTCTGATAGTGCAACAAGCCCAGCAGACAGACCGCAAAATGAAAGAGATGATGGATGTTGATACAGCACATCTATCCTGGGAGTGTTCTCTGTCTGTTTTTTTGTGTGCTTACCGGGGAGTGCTGCGGAAATCCATTGGTTTCTTCCCCTTACAGCTACTACATGAGCGCAGTGGGTGTGGTTTAAGGGATGTTACCAGAGATCGATGGGGAATTGAAACAGGCAAATCAGGCATGTTTGTTGAGGGTGTAGCTGTGGTATGGACTGATCACAACCTGCTGCAGGTGACAGGTAACCATGGTAAACTGCTCCATTGGAGCCCTATCCTCCAACAGTATAATTTCACTGCCCAGCACAAAAAGGGCAGCTTGCATGGGAATGCAGATGGCCTGTCTCGGCAACTAGAGGGTTAATGGTAGACAGATAAATCAGCCTGTGGCTGAATTTTTCTGTCCACCATCTTAAGGGGGAGGTGTCATGCCAAAAGCATGAGTTGGTGTTTGATGTGTGTTTATATATGTTAAGAGTTGTTTTTTTGTAAACCTTGGGATGACATTTATTGTGGTCTTTGATCTTGCACCAGGCCTAGACCATAAAACATCTAGATAGCCATCACCAGAGCTGGACACAAGGAATTTCATAGAGTGGGCAATAGACTGCCAGACCAACCCCCTCTGATCCCCCCCCAGGGGTCTGCCCACTGAGAAACAACTAGTTTAGATATATGAGGGTGTTGGACTATCCAGGGAGAGTCAGTTATTCATTTTTCTTTTGTCAGTAACTTCTAGGAGATCTATACCATCTAAGACTCCCACAAGAATTCTATATGGGGTAAATATATGTAAGGAATTTCTTGTGTTTTCTCCTATTTTATTTTATGTACTGTTTTGCAATTTGTTATCTGTATATCATTTATTTCTGTATTTTGTACTCAGCACTGTGAATCCTTTTTGTCAGTTTAAATGTTTACTTAATCAGCTTGTGTCTCTGTTCTCTATGAGCTTCACTCTCCAGAGGAAAGCTCAGGTAAACACGTTACCAAAAAGGGTTAACTATATATGTTTTATCAGTAAAAGTAGAACTGTGATACTATAATTCTCCTGTGTGTGGGGTAACCTAAGACGCCCGGGTTTAAAAGTCTTGGTGGTGGCAGTAGTACTAAGGGGGATAGTGTAGAAGGGATTGCAGGGGTTAATTGAGTGGTTGCTGGAACTAGCAACAGGTAACAAGGGGTCTGGTGTCATTAACCCTGTCACTTCCACACTCTCCCCACTGTCTCAGCTGGGCCTATAGCCCACGCACGTGACAAACTGGTGGCAGCGGTGGGAAAGTTTGTCACGTGCGTGGGCTATTGGCCCAGCCGAGACAGTGGGGAGAGTGTGGAAGTGACAGGGTTAATGACACCAGACCCCTGGTTACCTGTTGCTAGTCCCAGCAACCACTCAATTAACCCCTGCAATCCCTTCTACACTATCCCCCTTAATACTACTGCCACCACCAAGACTTTTAAACCCGGGCGTCTTAGGTTACCCCACACACAGGAGAATTATAGTATCACAGTTCTACTTTTACTGATCAAACACATATAGTTAACTCTTTTTGGTAACGTGTTTACCTGAGCTTTCCTCTGGAGAGTGAAGCTCATAGAGAACAGAGACACAAGCTGATTAAGTAAACATTTAAACTGACAAAAAGGATTCACAGTGCTGAGTACAAAATACAGAAATAAATGATATACAGATAACAAATTGCAAAACAGTACATAAAATAAAATAGAAGAAAACACAAGAAATTCCTTACATATATTTACCCCATATAGAATTCTTGTGGGAGTCTTAGATGGTATAGGTCTCCTAGAAGTTACTGACAAAAGAAAAATGAATAACTGACTCTCCCTGGATAGTCCAACACCCTCATATATCTAAACTAGTTGTTTCTCAGTGGGCAGACACCTGGGGGGGGGATCAGAGGGGGTTGGTCTGGCAGTCTATTGCCCACTCTATGAAATTCCTTGTGTCCAGCTCTGGTGATGGCTATCTAGATGTTTTATGGTCTAGGCCTGGTGCAAGATCAAAGACCACAATAAATGTCATCCCAAGGTTTACAAAAAAACAACTCTTAACATATATAAACACACATCAAACACCAACTCATGCTTTTGGCATGACACCACCGCTAGAAAGGCTGAACTTTACAAACTTCTGACGGCTCAGGCCAACGACCTGAGGCCCGGCACAAGTTCACAAGTGCCTCCAGTTGGCTACTCTGACTCCACCCAGGGCACTCTGGCTGCTATATTGGCCAATCTGCAAGCCATAAACAGCAGGTTGCTGAAGGTGGAATCGGCCATAGCCACTCCAGGTGACTTTCCAGCCCCAGCAGTCCCTACTCCGGTAACCTTGACCGCTCAGACTGCCATACCCCTCATCTCCTCTCCCCCTCACCCGCCAGCTACTACCACTTCCACTGCCCACGCCTCACCAGCCCACTCTGTCCCAGCTTCCATCAAGAAAGATATTCTTGATGTAAAAGACGTCAATTTAATGTCCCTCCTCATAGCCTCACAAGACATCTTAGAGAATAGGGGACATTTCTGTAGTCTTAAGAGCCAGAGATCCACGTTTGAACAAAAAACTCACCATTCCACAGTTTATCGCTTTTGGCACTTATCGAGATGTTATTTGTACGGTGTACCCACATAGGAGAGAAGAGCTTGATTTGTACATGCACAAGGTTGTTGATTTGGGCATCAAGTACGGAGGGTCCTCATTTTATGATTACCACAAATCCATTTCACCCAAGGCAGCAACTCATCTTGCACAGTTCAATATTAGAATTGATTGGTGCCAGATAGATACCGAGTTGTTTTGCCGTCATTTCGCTGGTTTGAGGCTTGTGCATCTTGTGGTTTCACTTCACACTCCACCGACCTATGCCCAGGAGACGCAGACCCTTCCACTTCCACCTCCACACCCCACCACTCCTTCACCAAACTCCAAAGACAGGAAGGTGGCCAGAGAGACAAGCTAGGCAGACCCATCATATTCTTGGGTAAGGCGCAGGTGTGCAACAACTTCAACACAGGCGCATGCAGCTACAGCGCATGCTGGTTGCTTCACATCTGCTCCATCTGCTTCAGAGCCCACATCAAGACCAACCCTGACACTTAATAAATAGTTGGTTCTACCCGCACTCTCCACCATCTGGGCGACAGAGAACTATCTGGTGTCAGGTCCTTCCCACAGGCTCTCACACGGGACTCACGACCTTCCACTCACTGTCCAATCACACGACCTAAACCAGGGGTTACCCGCAAGTTACGGCATCACATACGGTGGACCTCCGTTTGTCCACAAGCATATGTCAACACCAAGTCTAAACCATGTCTCATTCCAAGCGCACCTACCCCTTCATGGGGGGCTACTTACTTGCACTCCAAGTAATAAAAGTTTGTTATTTGACCTTTCATATCTCTTTTCTTTCCCTCCAGATCCAGCTTTAGGCTCTCTCATACCCGGCGTATAGTTGTTGTTGTTTTAACTTACATTATACTTTTACACTCTTTTACGCTCTCAATTTCAGGCCTCCGGCCAGGCTCCCCCTCCGGCCCACCTCCAACCATCCAGGACACCGCCGTTCCGCCGGCTAATCCTGGTTTAAACGAGCTATTACTCCACGCACAAGCACTCACACACCACGCACTATCTCCCAACACTCCTATCTCTTACGCTAGGGCACTGACTATTTTTAACAAATTCACCACCGAGTTTTGCTTACAAGGTGATCTTTCAATCAAAACCATGGTGGCTTTTGCCTCCTTTTGCCTCCTTTTGCCATTTACGCCTAAAACTTTCACACAACCCTATCAAACTCTACCTTACCAGAGTGCAACACCACATCCTCACTACCTTCCCTAACCACGTTCCTTTTCTGTCTTCCTACCCCATCCAGAAAATCCTCAAAGGTATTTTCAAGGTCACAGTTCCTCCTAGCACTACTAGGTTACCAATAGACGGTCCAATTTTCAGGTTCCTTAGCGATCTATAGGACAAATCCCTGTTTGACCATAGTACTAATTTGGTCATTAAATCCGCCATCTTTTTGGCTTTCTACGGTTTCCTGAGACCTAGAGAGTTCACCGTGATACGTCAAGGAGACACAGTCCAAGGTCTAAAACTTTCTCACTTAAAGAAAGTAGACGACCATTACATACTTTCATTACCTTCTACTAAAACCAACCACTCTGCCTATCCTACTATCATTCCCCTCTTCCCTACCGACAATCTGTGGTGCCCAGTACATATACTGGATTTGCTCCTGTTATCTCACCACACTCACTCTCCAGACACTCCACTACTTCTACTCCAAGGACACCCACTCACCACAGCTATATTTATTTCACACATCAGAACTCTATTATCAAGGTTGGGCTACAACCCAGCTTCCTTCTCTGGGCACTCGTTTCGCATCAGCGCAGCATCATCAGCTTCAAGCACTAACACTCCGGTACACATCATTAAGAAACTAGGACGCTGGAAATCCTCCATATACAACACCTACACCCCACGACCAGAAAGGGAGCTTAGGCAAGCCTTCAGAAATCTCTCTGTTTAAACTTGCAATAAGGTGTGTTTACTTCGAATTCCTTTTTGCCCTCTTTTTACAGGTCTACACATACGTTGGTTTCGGCACACCTCAACCAACTTTGCTTCTCCTCTACATTCCATTACATATTAGAGATTCCGAGCACAAGTTGGAAGGCCATTTGCCCTAAGTGTGTGGGAGGAGTTATGACCCAATATAAACCCTACCCCCCTAATTACCTTTGCCGGTCAAGTTGGTTTGTCCCCACCCACCTACCTTTATACATTTCACTTTGTAGGCCCTCTTTTTACAGGCCTACACGTACGTTGCTTTCGGCACACCTCAACCAACTTTGCTTCTCCTCTACATTCCATTACATATTAGAGATTCCGAGCACAAATATATACAGTTGCAAGAAAAAGTATGTGAACCCTTTGGAATGATATGGATTTCTGCACAAATTGGTCATAAAATGTGATCTGATCATCATCTAATTCACAACAATAGACAATCACAGTCTGCTTAAACTAATAACACACAAAGAATGAAATGTTGCCATGTTTTTATTGAACACACCATGTAAACATTCACAGTGCAGGTGGAAAAAGTATGTGAACCCCTAGACTAATGACATCTCCAAGAGCTAATTGGAGTGAGATGTCAGCCAACTGGAGTCCAATCAATGAGATGAGATTGGAGGTGTTGGTTACAGCTGCCCTGCCCTATAAAAAACACACACCAGTTCTGGGTTTGCTTTTCACAAGAAGCATTGCCTGATGTGAATGATGCCTCGCACAAAAGAGCTCTCAGAAGACCTACGATTAAGAATTGTTGACTTGCATAAAGCTGGAAAGGGTTATAAAAGTATCTCCAAAAGCCTTGCTGTTCATCAGTCCACAGTAAGACAAATTGTCTATAAAT